ACACACACACACACACAGCTTTATTTGTTCCCCCTCCAGCTGAAGTTTTTTCACAAATACCCATGGCACTGCCCAGGCGGAGAGGGAAGTTAAGTGATGGGGAACAGCGTTGTTTAACAGATGCAGTGTAATATTTGTGGTCAGGGGAGGATGACTCAGGGAGGGGGTGGGGTGGGGGGGTGAATATGTAATACTCTCTCACATATTGGAACTATTTCACAACATCTTTGAATCCCTCGCTCCTTCCCTACACAAGACACTGTGGTCAATATGGCTCTTTATGGAAAGAGTTACAGTGAATTTCTCTTTTGTGAAATCACTTCTTTGTTATTTACTTTATAATTGTTTTCCCACTGACCAAACATCTAAGTGAAGTGTGTGCTTTTACTGTTATACAAGTGAGTTTGGTGTTTTTTGTATTTATTTTGTGGCAGGACCCTGGTTAGCCATGTAGGATAACACAACAAGTGCTAGGAAGTTAAGGGAATCAGTAGAGAGGGGATTTCATTGTACCTTTTTCCAAACTGCTGTTCTTATTTCTTCCTGTTCTTGCTTTAGTTAAAAGGATTTTATGCTCCTCTGCAGGCTGAGAAACTCTATCACCCTCGGCCTTAGGAAACCCTTTCAAAGCCACACTGGATAAACTCCAACATACGGGGTGATGTCAATTTCAAAACACAGACTGCTTCTTAGTCCTCGAAAAAGTTGACACTATAGAGACAAAAGAGTCAGAGAAGGAATAAAATGCTCAAAACGAGCTCAAGGTTTGTTTAACAATCGTAGCATCTCTCAACTCAATCCATTAAAATTAAACTCTCTCTCAGCATCCACTTCATCCCCCTCCTGGCCTGGATTGGGCACAGAGGAGCAACAGTCACTCTTGGCCTTCTGCAAACCCCCACTCACACCACAGTAGATACTTTTAACATTGCTCACAGCTGCCGTAATACCAGAATTCACACCCCCACTTTCCACATTGATATCAGGGGTGAAAGCCTGAGCTAACTTCACTGCATAGCACTGCTCCCTTCTCATTTCCCCCGAGGCTCTATGATGCAATGTGTGCAGAAGTCCAACACTGCTCACAACTGGGGAATACAAGTGATTGGGACACTAACAAAGCTTTAGACAATTGAAACTTTTTTGCCTTGTGATCTATCCGTGCGGTTCAGATAAGTCTTTTACCCATTCACTCCTCATTCCTGAGTCTAACTTTGATGTCTCCTTTATTGTTAACCCATTTGTTCATCGGCTAGAGGGAGGGCAGCACCACTACGATGATAAGGATGGTGATCACACATTTTCCTATGATGGTGCAATACAGTCTCTGCATAAGCTATCAAGGAAAAGTCACTGCCTGGCAATAATGATGGGGGAAGGACCAATGAAATGCTAAAGGCACTTTCATGATCTCACTGACAAACTTTTCTACACAACTTTATGTGAAATTATGCTTTTTTTTTTACAGTCTTAGAGGATTACAGTTAACATCTAATTGCAGGTCTGCAACAAGATATTTTGCAGGTTTTCTGGTCCTTAGTACCAGGAATCATCAGTCTAATGAGGCAGGTGGTAGGCAGGCATTAAGAAACTAAGAAATCTGTTTCCCAGAAGGGATGTATTCTGAAATCATGGGCTAACAAATGAGGATGCCATCGACTCTTACCCATCTAACCTTAATCCCCTTCATCAAATCAACCTGTTAGTGCCAGGGATGAGCAGTCGACCTGCATACTTTGGTGACAGCATCAGTGAAGACTCATAAACGTACTGAAAAAACAAACATATAAACAGCCAGGCCTGAGTGGCGAGGCAGCCAAGACTGCATACCTTTAGCTTGGGAAAGTAGAAATTTGGTTCAAAAGCAGGAAAGCCTTTTTATTGGTATGAGGTAGATCACAGCTACAGTGCAGGTGTGAGTGGTCTGCATGTGCCTGTGTGTGATTGTCGTATGGTCAGCTAATGACTCTTAATTATGCTTACAGTACACAAAGGAATGGAGGTCAGGAACTGGACTTTTTTGTTTAAGTGGATGAAAAAACTAATATGTAAACAGCAGATATCAAAGGGAATTTTGATATTTAAAAGGCCCAGTGTGTAACAATTAGGAGAATCTATAGACAGAAATGGAATATAATAGTCATAGGTATGTTTCTATTAATGTAGAATCACCTGAATATAAACCATGTTGAATCGCTGGGTTTCTACAGTAGCCCAGAATGGAGAAACCAAACACTGGCTCCGAAGGGAATTTGGGAAAATAAAAGAAATCATGGACTGAAGAAGAAGCAGATGATGCTGGTTTAGAAAAAGTAAATAGCAAAACAATAGATGGCATGTGTTAAACCTTAGCAGATTAGGGATATAATGAAAAAGTATCCAAAGTTGTGGTTATTCTTTGTATTTGGCTACTGGACACATAATAATAATAATGACAATAATAATAACAACAAACTGATGATTTACATCAGACTGTACATCTTACAAACCCGTCAACTCAGCACTGATGTGTCATTCTGCAGCCAAGAAACTGGACAGCAGCAAAATAAAACAATGATGAAGAAACGCAACAAATGGACAGGACTTTTTTAAAGAATCCTAATCATTCCTGCAATGGGCTGGGAATGTGTTTGTCCGTACTTGGGACAGCTGTTCAAGAGCCCTCCAGAACAGTTTTGATATAGTAAGGACAGTAAAGTGAGGATATTCTGAGCTACATACAGAATAGTCAATGTGAAGAGGTCCACAACAAACAAATCATGTTGCCTTAATAAAAATACGATCTTACAGATCACCATATGAGGGAAAAGAGCAAATTCAAAGCAAGTTAAAAAAGGGAGGTTCTCCTGATTTTATCATGACAACATAGCATGTAAAGTTCTTTGTAATCAGTGCCTTTCCAAATCCACTTACTGTAAATGAAAGCAGAATTACTTATTTAGTATGCATGCAGATACATATGTATGATACATACTCCATGTGTAGGTTTTAGTGGCATCTAGTGGTGAAGTTGCAGATTGCAACCCATTGAATTTTGCACACCAAACATGGAAAAACTATGATCGTACACACTTGCAAAAAACGTAAAAAGGCTGTCTAGAGCCAGTGTTTGGTTTGTCTGTTCTGGGCTACTGTAGAAACCTGGTGGACGATAAATGTAGATAAAAACGTCTCATTCTAAGGTAACGAAAACACAACGATTCTTATTGTCAGGTGATTTTAATATTATATTCCATTTCTGCCAATAGACCTTCTTTAATGTTACACACTGGACCTTTAAAGAAATAAGAGAAGTTTTGAGTTGGACTAGGTATATGTGCAATTAAGTGGGGTTAGGGTTAGTATACCTATTCTTAGGATAGCCGTTACCTGTATTACATATATTTTGTAGACACTGACAGAAACAGTAGGAGGACAGAGTAAGAAGTTTGGTCCTTAACCATCAAACCACTGAGATGCATAGAACAAGAACTGTAGACCATAATCACCCAGATGTGCAGTGCACATTTCTCCATTTAGTCTTTATGGGGAAAAACATTCTTGGCAAAGTGATAAGGTCATAGTTTGGCATCACCGTCGTCTGTGAAGAGACGTCATGAAATACAAACCTTTCAGATTAAGTTTGTTCTGACTTTTTGTTCAGCAGCAGTTTCTCATTAGGCATTTAAAGGAAAATCCCTACAAATAGTTATTGGTGACGAGGCTTGTGGTTTTCGGTTCTTTAGTTGTACGGTGGTGTGAGTTTGAATACTGATACAACCATATACATATGCATAATTTGCTGTTCTTAGAACATTGAAAAGATGATACACAAACTCAAAATGATTCCTCCTCTGGAGATTATGAACGTGATCCACAACCAGCTTAATGTATTGTACAATATTATATATGTATGTGTAAATTATGGTGTAATGGTGATGCTAGAAAAAAGGTATTGCCAAAGTTAAAGCTCTTTACTGTGAGCAAATTTCATGG